AAGATAACACAGAGTCATTTGCATGTAATTATATATTTTTTCGAGAAATCGAAACTAAACTTGCTGACTTGTGTAAAGTAAAATATGTTGTGTGAAGGATAATGATACTTCCATAAATCTTTTAAAATGCAGAAACATTTAATTTGTGGGGATTCATATATGCAAATTTCACGCCGTTTAACGTATCAGATGAACGTTTACTGGTAAATTTATATTGTCTCTGACAAAACGGTAATCGAAGATCATCATAGGTTTTAAACATCCGACAGGTTGGCGACTTCATATATCTTGATGCTAATTATTGGCAGTTGTGAATACGTGATTTTCATGTATCCTAGCAGATCCATTATTGTAACTCACTAGTTAGCTGAACCGGCTAAAGCATGGGTAGCAGAAATGATATGCCAACATTTTTCCAGACAAAGTGTGATAACTTCTGTTTCCTATCTAGAAAGGTTTTCAGTGCTTTTCAAGACAGGTATAAAATTTCTAGAACAGTCTGGAACTCTAGACGGTATCCGAAAGAATTCTACAAATATTCCAGAACGTAGTGGAACCACCTGGAATTTGAGAATAGTCTGAATCGTTTAGGGCAGAGGTTCTCAAACTTATTTTGTCAACCGCCCACTTCGAGAATTAATTATTTTGTAGCGCCCCCGAATTTTTTTTCACTTCACTACATCTTAAGGATCACAATCGCAGTCATTATTTTAATAATTAAATTATGTGTGTCATGTGAAAATTAGACTTTCTGATGAGGGTAATGTATAACACCACTTTGTAATATCAGGAAAACTTTTATTCATGTTATTAAAACAAACATTTCAATTTGAATATCAAAACTAATCTGATGTGAAAGATGAATTTGATGATTTTCAACGAGTTTGTTGATATCAGGCTCGAATTTACTCAAAAAAAGAAGTAGGTCACCGCGTAATCTGTAATCGATTTCTCTTTTTAGTTAGCCAGTAAACCCACCTTCGCAGACATATGATGATGGGAATCAAAAATCGTTGAACGATGGACCAAAATCCAGGGTATTATTGCGGGATCGTCTTTGGTAGATAAAATTTTTGGTATCCATTTTTGAGTTTTATTTTTATTTCCTCGTTCGTTATCAGTTCTATGAGTTCTTCTTCCAGCTGGAGTGATCCTGCTGTGTTGACATTTGAAAAAGGATCCAACACCCAGTCTGGTATTTCCAATTTCAAAATGTCCTGGAATTGTTCTGCGAAATCACTGTGTTCACTGCCAAATGTTCGTTGTTGAAGAATACTGCTGACGAATTAGGGAAATTGCGCGAAACTCACGTCTGCCGATATTATTTTTGTATAAGAGCAATTTGGCTACAAAAGCAGCAATGACATTTTTGTTTCAATCAAATTCAAGTCGTCACCTTGAAGTTGGAGATTGATATCATTAAATAATTTTTACAGGTCTGTCAAGTACGCAATATCACTCTTTCAACTGATGAGGTTGTCGTGCAATTCTTTGTCTTTGTTTTCCAAGAACTCTGTAACACAGTCAAACAGATTGTAAAATCGAGTCAGACAGTTACCTCTTGATAACCAACGCACTTCTGTGTGAAATAGCTGTTGGCTGAGCTGAGTGTTTCTTTTCCAGTTCTCAAAAATTAGTCACACTTTGGTCTTTTTCATCTGAATGCATTTTATTCAAATGATCTTGTAGCCTTGAGGGTTTCATCGCTTCATTCGAAATTGTTTTTTTGACAAAGAAGGCACATAGACGAAGATGGATGCGTGGGACTTTCACTAAATCCATATTTCATATATTCCGCTTTAAACTGCCGTTTCTTCTTTTTTGCTTCTGACATAATTTTGTCTTCAAAAATGCCGAAGTAAAGAATCGAGTATTTACCACCGGAAGTTCAGCACTTTACCTAGCTAGACTCTAACTAAATTCACTTGTTTTCGTAAAATGGTCGAATGACATTACAGGCTGGATGGCGCGCGCGCTTTTATATGAGGCAGCTGGCGGGCCTTGTACTTTCGAGAATGGAGACTGGGAACTTCCCGCTTTGCATTGAAGCTTACCGCCATTTATTGTGCACTTTGACAACTATCGGACTGGAAATAGTTACTGTCTAGTCCCCTAGATCGGGTTGCATGAGAAAACGCGCGTTAATCGTAAAGGAGCGGTAAAGTTTGTGTTAAAAACAAAAAACATTTTAGAATTAGCCATTGCACCTCTAAACCGCTCCAACGCCCCCCCAATCTTTTTTGTGCCCTTTACTGCAAAGTGGGCGTTATCGCCCACTTTGAGAAAGATTAGTTTAGGGACATTCCAGGCCGTTGTGAAACATTCCACAGCGTTCGAGATTGTTGTGGAACATTATGTGATAGTTCTAATTTCATGTTACCTGCTGAGATACTATTTTCATCGTATGATGGGAAAATATAACTATTTATTTGATGAAAATTATTATTGAATGGAAATGGCCGATACTTGATAAAATCAAATCTCATAAGTCTTGATCTGGTCACTGAGATCGTGCGATTTAAACTCTTTAGACTTTCTCTTGTGGGGTTTTCTTAAGTCGCAGGTATATGCGAATAAACCACAAACCAAAGCGGTCTTCAAAGACAACATAACCCAAGCCTGATTTATGCGTCAGAGTCATGGAAAATTGGACGTTTCGGATGCGCTCCACCCAAAGAAGCCGTGGCGGACATTTTAACAATGTTATATTTCACATATGAAGGGATCAATAGGTTTTTCAAAAAAAATCTGTTTAAAAAAATCTGTTTTTCCGTTAATCAGCTGCCGCCCCCATACGAACGACAACTCTCAGAAGTTAAGAAACTTGTGCGAGCTAAGGACTAACAAGGTCTTACCTTTTAACGTGTGATTCCTAACACGTTTTTGATATCTCACACACACTTATTTTTATTTAAATTTGAAGTTAGGAAGCGCATAACGAAATACGCTAGAGTTTCTTCTATTTTTCTTCTTTTTCGATATGTATCTTTCTACAATCTGAAAAATAAACAAAATTGAAAAGTTCATTCCGAAAAGTCACTGCAAAATATAAACCACCGAAGAGTCCAATTATTCAGCAACCTATCATACTCATAAATTTAGCCTACAAAATGAACTTTCTCTATACTTAATTCTCTTTAGTGGTCGAAGTTTCGGAAAAAAAATCTTTTTTCGTTTTCAAAACGCAAAATTCGTTTGAAAATTTTTGTCTCAATTATGAATAGCTTTTTTCGTTATTTCACTTGACTCTCATTTTCTCTCTGGGTGATTGATTAATTTTCAGAATATTCTGATACAGTTTTTTGTTTCTTCTGAGATGACTAAAGAGGTACAACAAATTATGAAGAGCTGGTTGAGATTCCTGTACTTGACACTTTTGGATTGACACTGTTGGACTCAATGTGACTAATGTATTTGAGATGGTTAACCTTGACTAAAATAGAATAAAACATACATTATCACAACACTTGAACAGTTCAAACAAGTACGAAAGCTGGAAATACAAAAAAAAATGTCAAGAACAAAAAGGGTAAGGGATAAACAGATCGAATGATTTTGATTCCAATTTTTCACTTTGGTTTGTTTCTTGATACATAACTTCTTAACCAGATGTTGAGTTGGTTGCGGCTGATGAGAATTGTGTTTTATTCTCACTATCATGGATCTGGATTCGATTCATTTCTGAACATATCATTTGAATAAAAATATACTTGCATTTTAGATATCGCAAGCTCAGAAGGAAGAGAACCCATTGAAATTGTATTGTGTGTTGGCTTAGTCTAGAGGCTGGTATGAAATTTTGGGAGCAGTCACTAACACTAGGCCTATTCGGTTGGTATGAAGCGAATGAGAGAACTAGAGAGTTCAAAATATAGAAATATTCAAGGAAATTTTAACCCTTTGTCGACCGTCGGTACTCAGAGGTACCACATACTTCAAGCGGTCATAAAAGCCAAATATATTCAATAGGCTAGAGAAACGTCTGTTGGTACGTTGAGGTATCGAGTTATTTCTATAGTAATTCATATTTCGACTAGTGAGAGGGCGCATTATTCTCGTTTTTATGTACTTTAGTAGTGCGTGTCAGAGCTGTGTGTAGTTCATACCGGGTGATTAATTGCAGTGGTAACTGAAGAGATAGTATTCAATAGGTGAGTTTAATCGTGTTATTATTATGTTCATTGATACTTTCTATCAATGAACACATAAATGTATAAATCAATAAAAACTGTATGCGTGCGCTAGATTAGTCTGAATTGGTGATTCTTATAACTACCGTCGGGCTGTTAGGAATGAATTGCAGTTTCGTAATTATTTCGAAATAGTTACTGATTTGCCCCTTATATATGTTTTTAATTTCAGCTGGTCATGGATAAACAACATTCTAGTTGGTACTGGAAGCAGGCCTTGACTGATGAGGAGTTATTAGATAAGGCTTAGCGCATAGAAGATGATATAGCATGTGATATCGAGTTGGATAATAATTTTCAAACAGATGAGGAAGATGAGCCTGATGATGATGTTTTGGATAACACTGCTCCTGTTGAAGATATTGGGCAGATTGATGAGAACCCTACGGATCATTCTCTGGATATAGAAGAGGTGCAGCTTGAGAATGACAGAAAAGATGAAACTGGCCATGTAAGGAAGACGGGAAAAATAAAGAAAATGGATATTGAAGTAGACCGAAAATGGAGGAAGAGTGATTGTAAAACGACTATTCCAGAGTATAAGAGTAATGAGGGTCCCAATACCGATGTTTTTAAATATTGTCTCACACCCACAGACGTGTTTTTGAAGTTCATCGAACCTCAGCTTGAAAATTTGGTGTACCAAAGTGATCTTTACGCTGTGCAACGGGACAGAAATCTGAGCTTGAAAAAAGAAGAATTACTTGCTTTCATAGAAATAATATTCCGATGGGTTATCATGTTTCACCATCGTGGAAGCACTACTGGTCAGGAAGCTCAGATTTAGGAGTGCCTCTAGTGTCGAATACAATGAGTAGACGGAGATTCGATAACATACTTTCCAACTTACACATAAATGATAATGCTAAAATTCCCGTAAATAATAAAGACAAACTCTATAAATTGAAACCAATGATTGATTCTTTGAATGAGACTTTCAATGCTTTCTCGAAAGGAACCAGACATATTACCATAGATGAATCCATGATAGCCTTCAAAGATAGAAGTTCTATAAAACAGTATAACCCAATGAGGCCAATCAAACGTGGGTATAAAATTTGGTGTTGTGATGACCAAAAAGGTTATATTTTACATTTCGACATACACCAAGGGAAGGAAGGTAATGACAATGAACCTGAATTGACTGACTGGGGATTGGGAGAAAAAGTTGTCTTGGAACTTTTGAAGAATTATTTGGGGACCAACCGCATTATTGTGTTCGACAAATTTTTCACTTCCGTGCCTCTTTTAGAGAAGTTGAAAGTTGAAAAAACTTATGCGTGGGGAACGATTAGATGTAATAGAAAAGGAACTCCGAAAAACCTAACCAACGACAAGAATCTGAAGCGTGGAGAATTTGACTACCGATTCAGTACAGCAGAAATTGGATTCTTCAGATGGCGCGACAACAGAGTTGTCAACCTGGCAAGTAATTTTCATGGAAATGAAACAACCGTAGTAAAAAGGAAGCAAAAAGATGGAACCTCAATAGAAATACCATGTCCCACCATCGTGGCCGATTACAACAAATATATGGGCGGAGTTGACAAAGCTCATAGACGTTGCATTTGTAACTGCATATGTGTCATTTTGTAGTGTTTTTGATGGAATTCCTTTACTGGAATTCAGAAGAGGAGTAGCGTTGGGAATGATCACTGAAAAATCGTACCCAACAAGTGGAAAAAGATACAAAAAGATCTTCATGTGAAATTCAAAATAGAGTCAATAAAAGGCGAAAAAAAAATCCGTTCCAAGTGATATGCGTCTAACAAATGGGGGAGTACATTGGCCCAAATTTGTACTTCAAAGAGGTCGTTGTGAAGTTTGTAGTATAAAACAAATACAGTCTCGACCCCATTCAAAAACTATGACATGTAATATCTTTTTATGCTGTTTTGAAAACAGAAACTGCTTTGTAGAGTACCATGAAGTCGATATTAAATATATTTTATAGTTCCAAAGAAAATTAAAATGTATTTGTTTCCACAAATGAGCTTGAGTGTATTCTGAAATTTTTGACTTTTCATATTTTTTTGTTCGAATATAACCCAACGGTACTCAGAAGTACCACTAACTTTTCAAAAAAACTATTTATTCGAAAAATTTCAAAAAATTTGCCTATGCCAATTTTCATCCTAAATACAAAATATACTTTCTTATAGCGGGCAACTAAGGGTTGGAAGCTCAAAACTTTACCTCTATTTGAATCGCCAGTTGGCTGTATTGCTATGATCGTCAGACGATCAGTCTATTTCCAGTAGTACCCTCAGCCGATGATATTTATGACCCATAAAAAATGTTCATCTGATATTAATAAAGATGTGTCTTCTCAAACAAATAAAGACTGCCAAAAATCTTGCAGACAGCGGTAATACACGTGAGAACATGAGACCCAAATAAGAAACCCTACATCGTATAATGATTTTGCAATTCGTTTTAATTTATGACACAATATCTCGACGGGAAGCTGAGCTTTTTAAATACCTGAGCATAAATATTACCATCTATATGGGTCGAGACGAGAGCCCAATAAAATTAAGCTCTGCTGGGTTCGCGGTTCGACTTAAAGCTGTGTTAACGTCTTTTGCTTCCGATGAAAACAGTTTCGATGTGATGAATGGACACGATTCATGTCCGTTTGCATCGCATTGTTGGGTTTCACTAAATACCTGGCGTGTTTTATACTCCTCGGAAAAAGGGTAAGCACTTGAGTAGAGGGTGATTCAATCATGCTTTCAGCTGAATGTAAGGACAACATTCCAAAACATCCTTAAAAGCGATTGCTTTCAGTGTTAATGATTTTTTTATCAATGCTCTTTTATATTGTAGGTTCGACCATATTTCACCACACTGTACAATTGAAATCAACTTATTTCTTCTACTACACTGACAATGCTGCAAGCAGCTTTATCGGACCAGAACCTGTCACTGGCATCGCTTTAGGCTTTGCCAAACAGATATAGAACACCTGGATGGCAAGAAGATTTATGGTCATCTGGCAGAATCTTCCAGGCTCACTCCAAGGCATTTATTCACCCTTCAAAGGTTGATTCCAAACAGTTGTTGGACTACAGTAGGGATGAACTACGATGTCTAACAGGCCTTGTTACAGGTAACTGTCATTTGAATCATCATATGCAGAGACTAGGACTATCGGAAGACAGTATGTGTCGCCTCTGTTTGGAAAATGATGAAACAGCAGAGTACATACTTTGTGCCTGCCTCGCTGAGGCCTGAATCATGTTTTAAAGTTTGGTAGAGCCGTACTCTTACCATCTGGCCTGAAAGACCACTCACCATGCAAACTAATCAGCTTCGTTAAGAGGCTGGGTTCATTTGGTCGAGTGTGAATAGGTGTAAGCCACAATAAACCCTTGCGGGTTGCGATGGAGGGTCGAATAGATACACTCGCTTTAGAACTAACCTAACCTAACAATAACCATTCATGAGTTCATCTGTGGTATATTACTTTGTATGTTTCAATTGAATTTGTCTGCACTTCGAACGTCATATACTTCACTTCAGACGTGGGTCAGACGTTGAACCGATAAACGTATTTCGTGACGTCATACAAGCACCAGCAAAATATATAAATAATGCACAAAATTAGACTAAACGACCCTATTCAATTTCCATAGTGGAAAATATTTGATGAGTTTTTCTTCCCATTTTCATCTAAAAATAACATACCTATATGATTGAATTGGTCGAAATTTGATTGAAATCCATGATAACGTTTTCACTTTAACACTTCATTGTTTTTTTTGGGAAAGAACGTTTTTGGCTTTCTACTATCCCATCTTGATACAAAAAAATGTTGGAATCTTCCAGAGACAGGAAGGAAGTAGTAATTTGAAAATAAGTAACTCTATACATGGATGTGTGGATCATGCAAAGAAGCAACTTTCAGACACAAACTGGAAGAAAGCCCTCCTGGAACAGCTACTTTCATATAAACATATGAACAAACAAATACTTTTATACAGAAGATATTTTTCTCTACTCAGTTTGAATTCCAAACATTCGTTATGGAGTAAAATCATATATCATTCACAGGAGTTCTACTTTAAATGAATGGTAACAAATTGCACTTATTTCGTAAAGCGTATTTATGCCTTGTCAGGTAATCAGTTGTATTGGTACCTGAATTTGTACCTGTACTTGTACCTGCACTTCTACCTGTACTTACTTGTACCTGGACTTGAACCTGGAAAATTAACACTCTTGCTGCCTGTTGTCATTCTGTTCGTTGTTCTCGAATTCCTTAAAATGGGGTTCCATATTCGATTGAGGTTTGAGAAGAAGCGGTGAACCTCAATCGAATATGGAACCTCATTTTGAAGAATTCGAGAATAACGAACAGAATGACAACAGGCAGCAAGATTGTTAATGATCCAGGTTCAAGTACAGGTACAAGTGCAGGTACAAATACAGGTACCAATATAACTGATTACCTGGCAAGGCTTAAATACGCTTTACGAAGCCTAAAAGTTAGTCATCGGATTGCAAGTCATGATGGTTGAACCTCTTAAGAAGCTAGCCACTCGCGCCAGCGAAACGTCAGGAAGAAATTACAGAAATCCAAGGCTTTCAAACTCGAAAAACAGTGACACTGAAAACCTCAGCCGCGAAAGTCTAAACCATTTTGTCAATAAAATTATGTTATCTAATTTTCCTCGAGTACAGGTACTGAAAAATAAGACAACAAAATATCATATTCTCACATTAGATTATTGTCAATGTCATCTAGTTGTGAAAATATTGATTTGAGTGGGAAGCGTAAACCCAGTGTTGTCTGACACTGCATAATCACATTCATCTTATTCAACTATATGAAACAATAGATAATTGCTTTATGAATCAGTCCATAAAACTAATCAACACATTAAATTTATGATTTGGCAGTTGCAGATACAGAATAATTCTTAGTATAATGCTGTTTTTTTTTCTTTATTGACATAAGAATCTGTATTTTACTTTTTTGGCAAACTATGTTTTAACAGCTTTCAGCTTGAGCAATACTATGGAATTAAGAAGGCTTTGGTTTGGAGTTCAGAAAATTTCCACTAAGAAAGTTGGAAAGCATATGCAGATGACAGACATATGTCATGTTTTTTTTAAACTGGTACTGGTACAAAAGGTGGAGAATGGGATATGACCCATTTAGAATGATCTTAGTGAAGATACCGCGTCTTTATATGAATGAANGTGGAGAATGGGATATGACCCATTTAGAATGATCCTAGTGAAGATACCGTATCGTTATATGAATGAAATAAATAAATACAAGGGTGTACTTATCCTGGGGGTAACGACAAACTTTGAACTTCTCATCCAAAAATAAGACAACAAGTCTATTATGACAATTCCCGATGACGAACATTGAAAAGTGTTAAGGTAACGTTCTTCATGGAAGTAAATGAGACGTATGATTAGATTTTGTTCTCTTCAATCGTATGATTAAAATTACGATTAGATTAGGTTAAGTAAATCATCGCGAAAAACGAGAGTACACTGCTGAGCGTAGCAAACACAGGACTACAAAAGGTATCGAACTGGTTGCAAAGAATCCTGCTAGAACTAGCTCATCAGAAAACTGAAGCAGTACAATTGACAACGAAAAGGAAAATATTCCTCATCTACTTCGATGTTGAGAACGTTAACACCAAGCAGGACTGTTGTAGCATATCTAGGTATGAGGGTAGACATGAAGCTCAATTTTGCGGAACGCATCAATAAAACCGTTGAGAATGCAGAAAAGACAATAACCGCCTTCTCCTGTGTCTTAACAAACGTAGGGGGCCCTAGACCATCTAAGAGGAATCTCTAAGCAAGTGAAGTTCAGTCAAAGTTGCTATACTGTGTCTCGGCGTGATGAAATGTCGATGAAAACAAAAAGCTTATGTTATGCCAAAACTTGCCAGAATCCAAAGAACAACAATGATCAAGGTGTGCAGTGCTTACAGAACCATGTCCACAGATAATGCAGCCGTCATAGTAGGGTTTCCTCGATAGAACAGTCAGTAAGAGAAATAACGGAAGCATACTATGATATATCGAAAGAACTTGCTAGAGAAATAAATAATGCAGTATATGGACGCTGGACTAAACGTCTTCTTCCGAACATCCAGGAGTTATTGAATAGAAAATATCGCGGAACAGATTATTTCCTGATGCAGGGCATGTATGTTCAAAAAAAAATTAGAACGCCGGAAACAGATACTTACAAGTGCTCATACTGCAAAAACATGGATGATGTGGAGCACACCCTCTTTTCATGCAACAGATGGGAAGGAAACTAGAATACCAGAGGGATATCGAAACCATCTTTGATGCAACAAACATGATGACGTTTCTCGTCTCAGGAGAAAAAGGATGGTGAGCAGCATATACTCATAAAACCAGAAAAGATAATATATAAACTGAAACAAAGGAGACAGAGAATTTGAAAGAGTGAAACCAACTGTACAGGGTACAATTTGAGTTAGTGGGCGTGGGAAGAAAGGGATTTACCGGGGTATACAGGACTTGCATCCACCAGCCTGGGATTCTCTGGACTGTCATGTGAGGAAAGAACTAGGCACGGCGCTATAAAG